TAAGGTTTCAATTGAACCAATCGATATCAACAATCTGAGCTAAAGATACTTGGCAACCACTATTAATCTTCATCCGAAAGGGATGGAGAAACCTTCCACTAAACCAAACCTGCAGACCAAGTAGTGTCTTGCTAAACAGTTGAAGAACTGCTCAACTCTTAGACACAACAACGCCATAAAATGTAGTCCATTAATATTTCAAATGTCTATAGAGTTGGCAGTGTTATATCTAAGGTCATAACTTACCTAGTAGATGTTTCACTATCAAGATGATTGAAGATACAACAGATTATTCCATGTGAACATCACTATTTTCTCCCATAACCTTCTGCTTAACAAAATGTGTCCTTGAAATTTACATGCGTAATTCAATCTGTCTTCTACACTACACTATGCATATAAACTTGAATGACCTTGAGTGTAGCTAGACATAATGCACCATTGTTCAATCACGTAAGTCTTAGTGAAAATGTTGATTACTGGTCGCGTATCTACTCTGAATCGACATATCATTACTCATTGGGGTCCAGGTACATCCAACTGAAGGATCCTAAATGGGGTGAAAGGCATGTCCTAGATTTAACTAACAACGATGAGGTAAATTATAACAAATTGATGAATATTCAAGCAAAATTGAGGCATCCATAGAGAAATCCATTCGCAATCAGATGTCAATCGATTCGACCTAGTATAACAACTTGGAATTTCAAGTGTCAATGAAAACGTTTCCTTCCATTTTCAGACTATGTGGATTTTGTATCCTCTCCTTACAAAATTATCATAAACTTCATTCAATCAACTGCTTACCTCAGTCACAAAAATAATGACTTCTTGTATAATTTTGGTTTGTTTTTTAAGTATTCATCTTCTTCCTATGGATAGCTATCAGTGGAATATAGGGCGCGCATTTAATCCGACGCAGAACTAATCAGCTGGATATGACTTCACCCCAGTGAGTTATGTTGTCTCCACTGAGACTCGAACCTAGTACCCATCTCTCTCAAAGCCAAATCATCAGTTTATTCCAGAGAATAATATACCATGACCAGGTTTTCTCAGGTCATCATATAGTTTATGGGTAGGTTGTTGCACAAAGAAAAGGAGAAATAGAGACCCACCAGTAAGTTTAATGATGAACTTGCATTCAGCCGGAAAAGTTTGGGTAACGCAAAATTTCAGCAAGGCACTGAAAGCAAATCCACATAACTATAGTCGAACGAAAAGAGAAAGCCATCCGGCAGAAGTAATCAACCAATTTTTTTCAGATGGCAGACTGATGGACAAAATCAACGTACAATCTCACATACACAAAAGTGCATCACTTCAAGTTGCCACACTTCGTAATACAAAAGGAGTAGAAAAAGTTGTATGAAGGAGTAAACGGTTTGAAAATAACAGTTAGTGTGAATATTCAATCTTTAGAAGATTTCAAGGAGTGAATATATCTGCGCTACTTTGGTCAGTTTTCATCCATGTCATTCGGAGTCCTCAACTACTAGTTCCCATCGTCTCGGGGACCCCTAACTAAGCAGTCTGCACCTTTCACATGGTTTAGACTGACAGTCATGAAATTCATGCACTATTATCATGTCTTAGTATAGAATGTGCAACACATCTTTAAGCCAACTCAGTCGATGAAGGTTCACAACTTCGTCGACTCATCCTATTTGCTTAATACACTTCATCTCACCTGAATATCAACCACACAGCGGTTCCGTCTGATTTGAAACTCGTCAACTAGAAGTATCTGCCACCCAGCGAGCAATGTTGTTTCCATCGGGACTCGAACACACGACCGATAGCTGGTTAGTTTTCTTTTCAACTACAATGTTCTAGGCTGAACAGATTTTCTTCGAGTGGTGGATAAGTTTTTTCCCATCACCACAAACCTATTCTGAAGGGGTGCAGCTTCACAGTAACTGATTTCTTATACCCAATCATTCATCAATTTGACTTTCTAAAGTTGCCAGGCGTTTCGGTAGATTTGTATTGTTGATATTAGGTGAAATGAAAATCTAGGCCGCGGCAGAATTGGAACGAGCAACGTCTGAGGTACCAGCCGCGTACTCTGCTGACTCAACTGAGAGATTCATCTGGTGACCAGAATTTTACTTCAATTGTCAAATCGTTTTTCCGAACTGCTATATGAATGCATGTCGCTTTTCTATCGCTCTATTGTATTCATATTGGCTGTTCAGTCAAGACTTCTCATCCCGGTGTAAATCTACTTGAATAAGAGAACAGAGATCAGTTCGTAAAATGACATCAGTTGGTTGTTTTTATTACATTCCATTCACTGACCTTCCACGTGATTGGTCAAAAGTGTACCTATCAAATTTCATACATTCGATCTACTCACGCACTGAGTCACATGATTCGACTCTTCCAACCAATCACTTACAACGGAATATAAAGTTTAGTGTTTACTCTCTGAATATTCAAGGCAATTTCATTCATCTGGATATATACATAACTGGATTACCTGACCACAACGTACCATAATTTATCAAGATTAAACAACCAGTTTGAAGCACAAAAGATGGGTTGTCATACAATAACGGATCTCATCGAAGACATAATTATTTCCGAACTATAAATCTTATGTGACTGGATAAGAGGTTTGTCGAAAGCTCTTGAAGTAAGCTGTGCAATAGTGATGTTGCCAATCAGGTCATAAGTGAGATGACTTTTGAAACGAATGAAGTAATAGACGACCAATGACATATATCTTAGAAGATACACGTTTTCCAATTATTTGGGCTAATCCAGGCAGCTTCGTCAACCGATGCAGGATTGAATTTGAAGCTAACAGGTCTCTTGGTTAAAATGGTCAAATTCAACCACTAGTTCACTTCTTTCAAATATCTTCACTTCGTAATATAACATATTCGTTATCCAATGTCACCAATGCACCTCCACCCATCCGAATTCGATAAGTTCGTAAATAAGAGTTTGAAAAGAACTTTAGTGATTGGATACGAACTCCAAGACTGAATGATGATACCATTAGACCTTACGGTTTAGCTTCAAATAGAGTTTGATCTTGCATTCCAACGACTGAAGAGTCCTGAGCTAGGACGAAACAGCTGTCCAGCGGCATTCAGTGAGAGCTATAGATCCGTATTTTCAACTCCCTTAAGATGTAGTTTCACCCATAGACAGATCCTTCAAACCTGTTACGACTGTAACCTGTTATGCTCAGCTGCGTACTTACAAACATCATTCTGATGCAATCAAATCCTATCAGAAGGATGCTAATTTCAACAAATAATCCCCGGATAATACTAAATATCAACTTATGTAATTAAATTCCTAACCTTTTCTTCTCCTAAATCTTTGATAAGCACTAAAAAGGTTAACTTGTGACGTATTGTGCTTAATTATTCAAAATGCCAGACTGCACACTATTGTTTCATACATGAAGATAACCTGTGTAGGCTATGAAGTCTTATGCTTCCCGTTCTACTGATGGTAATTCATTAAAGAAGATTACAGGTGTGATTTATGTTGGCGTGTGTTTTCTTCCAATCTTTCCTCAGCCTCCAATAACTCACTCATTTCCAAAACAATTTTTCAACCAAAATATCTATATTGGGAAACTGAGAGTATTTTATGTTTCATAAACTCTTACATCTTTCCTATCCTCCTCTACTGTTCTCTTTTATTTTTTCTCTCGGGTTCCTGCAAAAAGACTTTGCTCTGTATTGCTTAGAACTTTGAAGATTGTCAGTGGAACTAGTCGTGTACCACGAGAGAAACCTATTTATCACAAGTGTTGTGGATAAACAGCTTTACTTATGCCAACATCTGGTTGATGTTTCTACAGACGACCATTATCCTATTCACTCTCTATCTGTCGATCGTCAGATAAGACGAGGAGTAAGTATATAAGACTTTATGCATTTACTACAACATATAAAACTCTACAATACTGTACGTGTTTAGCTCATTTCTTGTGGAATGAAGAAAGTGTTGGAAATTAACTAGCTGATCAACTTTTATTTCTTTTGATAGCAAAATGATCACAGAGTACACAGCTTGTTGCTATTCATGTGTACTATGAATGTAATTGTTGTTATGTGATTGTCTCCGTACGTTAACTCTGCAGTTTCAAGGAAGTTGTAGGTGATATCTGCTAATCTCATTTTATTATGTATACATATAGACTGGTTTTGTTCAGTTGATGCCTAATGAAATACTGGAAATTCTCGGCGACATTGTAGAAATACCTTTTAGAATAAAGACATTATGTTTACGCCTAGTGTATCTAATTTGTTGCAAAGGGTGTGTACAACCTTTCACTCTCTGGCTATGTACTTAAAGATAAATCATTATTTGTATGAGTTTAGGAAGTGAACTTCAGTATGTCTAGGTATAAAATATACAAGTTATGCAATCTGGAAGCATCATAGTTTTTTCCTCTCCTATGTTAAAGTCAAATATGTTTATCTAAATGCAACATGATATGACCTTAAACATTTTATTCTGATTGGTTGATTATTCAACGAACAATCAGGTCATAAGTAGATGGGAACAGAATTCACTTGTGATTGGTTGAAAATAAAAGCCAATAGAATTTTTCTTTGGTCTGGTATTTTTTTCTTACACATTAGAAGTCTATCACCAGGTTTGGATATAAATTCACCCAAATTTTATCAACTATTTTATTAGTGTAATGACAATAAATAGTACACAGGGTTTTTAACGCCGATCACAATCAAACACTATCTACATATATTGGGATTTACTGAATTAAACTATTCATGGGGCGTACAGAGACATTTGAAGGACGGTTAGAACGAAGACAACACACATTAGCTGATAAAATACGTCTCACTTCTTGTCCATTAATTCGTGCCTGTTTAGCAGAATTTTGTGGTACTGCAATTCTAGTGATATTTGGTTGTGGTGTATTAGCTCAAACATTTCTAGGTGATCATGGGAAACAAGCACATGGTAGTTTCTTGTCAGTTAGTTTGGGCTGGGGATTTGCTGTCTACATGGGTGTATTCTTCTCTGGACGCGGTGGTTCTGGACACATTAATCCAGCTGTTACTTTGGCATTTTCAGTAATTGGAAAATTCCCCCTTAGACGTGTACCAATCTATACACTTTGTCAAGTTGTAGGAGGATTTGTTGGTGCACTTGCAGTCTACGGTGTTTATCATGAGAAAATATTTGAATATGCTGGAAAATATGAGAATGGATCATTGATAGTAAAAACAACAGGTGGTATATTTGTCACTAATCCAGGAGCATCTCATCTAACTTGTTTCCTTGATCAAGTGCTAGGAACTGCATTGTTAACAGCAGGAGCATTGGCTATTTGTGATCCTAATGGATGGAAACTTCCAGAATACTTACATCCATTACATTTAGGATTATTGGTTTATGCTTTAGTCGGTTGTTTTGCATTGAATGCTGGATGTGCTTTAAATCCTGCACGAGACCTTGGGCCTAGACTCATGCTTTTGGTTTGTGGTAAGTCTATTTTGATGTATAAATGTTTTATCACGATTATTATTATTATTATTATTATTATTATTATTAGTGATAGTGATAGTAGGAGTATGAAGAAGGAACCAAGACGCCAGTATGCCTAAATTTAATTACATACATAATTTAAAGGTCTGTGTGGATTCATTTATCCGTTTGAAGTTGGTATTCATCATGGACTAATATCATTGTGGGGAAAATAGATAAATGGAACCTTGGGAATCCTTCGTCGAGGTCTGTACAACACTAAGTAACCTCACCCGACTATCTACAGTGATATATATCAACAATCTAGACATCAGGTCTACTTCGTGTACGTTTGGTTAATTTTATCTCTCACGTAGCCACACGATAGAGAGAACTACTTAGTAAGACGCCCTAGTAACACACGGTATATTACACCTCCTAATTTTATATTCACGAGTGTAGATCGCTCAAAATCATTTGACTCTCTCTCTCTCATTTCGCTTCCAGTCAACCACCCAACCTAACACATGATCTCCTCAAATGGTCTACACAGTCCATGTCCAATACAATCCATCTACACTTCATTCCACTACACATTCGTTCGGTAATACGTTCCTCGTTCGTCGGTTCGCTCCTACACCACACTTCCTCAGCACTTATTCTTTCTCACCATCTGATATCCATATACAGTATCGACTAAGCGTGGGAGACAGATGTTGGTCAATATGTGTAGTTTGTTGGAAATGCTTTCCGTAGGGTGCCAAGTCTCTCAACCATCACATGGAAGCACTGACTCACTTGACTGAATCAGTGTTGAAAATCTGGATCTTGTTCACGCTTTATGTTGAGTATGGTGTAGTGTGGTATAGTGTAGTGTAGTGCAATGCAGTGCATTGCAATGCAGTACACCTCCATCTCCACACTGATCTCCTCACATCAATGAAGGAAGGCGTGTCTTATTGTCTTTATGATCCTGACTATCACCTCCTCATCTCTGCCTGTTCCGCCACCTGTAGTTCAAATGATGCTACATAGGTGTGTAGGTGAGAGAGATAATTTGCTCTAGATTTCTTCTATTCATGGTGCTTGTTTTCGTTGTTGTTGCTTGAGTATCTTCACCACCTCCGTCTTATTCTCTACGTTCATCTGAAGAAGTCGCATCTTCACTGCCCTGTTTCTTCTGTCAACTAGTTGGTTTTCGCCTGTACATCTTTGAGTTTGTGTGACACAAGGCATTACACATAAATGATGATGATGATCGAAATCGAAATGTTCTAGGTTGTTTTCATTAGTGAAACAGCCTATGCTGTTGTTCTCGCTCCTTACAGTTTGTTGCATGATGCAGTCCAATTCAGTCCATTTGACGACGATCAGGAATTTCATCGGTGATGGTAGGCCACCTTGTTTTACTCCTGTCTTCACTTGGAAACCATCAGTGAGATTTCGATTGTGAATCACTCGGCATGTAGCATCATCATCATATCGCATATAGCCAACTGTTGAATATGGGCTCCTGTGCGGATGCCTCGATATTGCGAGCAATCTGATTATGTTAGTGATGGATCGTGGCTAGCAGTGGGATTTTTGTGTGTCCTGGTATCTGGTGAAATCCGTGTGAGTATCTTTGTGTTTGTACAGTCTACCTCACCTGCAATCACCAAATCGTTGAATGCGCAGAAGTCTGCAAACAGTTCTCCATTCTGACACATCATTTCACCGAGTGCCTCTCGACTCATGATGACTTCTCTTCTTGTGTTGTCCGCCTCCAGTTTGGCATTCATCTCACCCCACCCATTAGAATTTTGATGTCGCTCCCAAGTCCGAGTCCCGGTGGGAAGAACATCACTCACTGGGAAGCAGGTATATCCAGCTGACAAGTCCCAAATAAGAAGAAAATACTCATCCTGGATTCTACTTCTAGCCACGATCCATCACTATTCCGTATACTTACAGGTTGTATGTTATTGACTGATTCAAAGGTCTGTAGTTAAGATTTCTCGTTTTTCTCTACATATGTGGTGTAATGTACTAACTAATTTTGTGATTTGTATGATCTGACACTAAATGTGATAACAATGAGTCGTTACACGGTAGTCAGGCACCTAAACCACTTCGTTCATAGTTGCATACGATATTATCCACCCTAAGCGAATCCCTATTTCTCAGATACAATAGATTATGTAGTATATCTTGAAGTACTAGTTAACAAATTAACTTCATGACAAGTCAATGCATCAACTGACTCTATGCAATATACAATCGAGAAAGGAAGTCTTACCAGAAAACTCAATAAAAGTAGACAAGAAGAACTGAAAGGGAAGAGGAGAGCAGAAACCGCAAGAAATTCCGGCACTTAATTGTTCACTACTGATCCATCAGTCATCTTATAGTAAAGTCTAACAGTCCAGAACACGTTTTGTTTTATTAGAGTAATATCCATTCCTAGATGTATTGAATGGCTACAGTAATGTTACCAGCTTATTTATATGAGAATATTTTTGAAGACAACACCTCAACCTCAACATTGTTATATCTTAAATGTAGAATTCAGTTCATAAACTAGCTAACAAACTGAGACAAATCGGTTGCATTGATTACTCAGTTGTATTTGGTTATCCAAGTGTTTCACTGAAGTGCTGTGAAAGAAGTGTTAATTAGAAGGTGAAAGAAGGAAAAAGTAGGTATTTCATTGAAGAAGTCTCTTTTCGGCAATTTCATTTTCAATGCTGTACACAATCACAAATTTATACACTTTTTCTAGTGTAATAATAGTTGAAGCATGGTAGGTAATATGACGACGGCATCACTTGAGACTGGATTATGATCAAACAGAGCATAGCAACAAGAAGTGGACAGTGTCAAAATACAAAAGTGAAAAGAAAGGGGGGGGGGTTAGAGGAGACTGAAAACTGAAACGATGAAAGGAGAAGGAGTTGAACAATCTTCTTATGTATACACAGTTCAGGTTTCTCCTTATGGATGAAAAGAATACGAATATATACAGGTTTTTGAAGATCTCTTTTCACTTATACACGACTTTGCATGAGAAGGTTCTTAAGATAGGGTGATTCGTGTTCAATTATAACACTCCTTATTGCTACATTGTTCCCTTTTTCGATAACCAACTAGGATGATGTTCTTGAAGCATTTTGGATAACAGTCGCATTGAACTTCTTATACACCTGGAAGCACAAGACCAAGTGAATTGATATATGCACATAGAAGTGGTCAGATGTAAAAAGTTTCTCCTTTGAGTTGTTAGAAATCGTTGGATGACAAGAGAATAGTAGTCTCAGTGTTGATGCAAAGAATGTTCTCCTTAGAGCGTTTGATACGCTTCTTTTTACAGTGTCAGCGGTAGAATCCCCTATGAACTTGAAGTTCAAATACTATTGTTTTTGGAACGGTGGATAGTCATTTTGTTATTTACCTATTCTTTTCATTCTGTTGTGATGCATAGCAACTTCAGTTGATGGTTTGGTATATGTGAACTCTTGTTAAGTCATCTAATTCACTTCATATTTCCAACTTTTTAAAGTGTTTTAAGTTCCTGCCAGAAATTTGCGGGTAAAAATAACACCACTAGGCTAAATATCATCACAGAACAAAGCAGAGAATGGCAGTCAATCCTCAACCTCAACTTCATCGATTTTGAAAAGGCTTTCGACAGCTTCAATCGAGAAGTAATTTAGCAGGCAATTACTTCAACACTACGGTTTTAGTGGCACAAACCTTTATCAACCTCATTCAACATTTGGCTATATCCAATATGATGATGATGCTACATGCCGAGTGATTCACAATCGAAATCTCACTGATGGTTTTCAAGTGAAGACAGGAGTAAAACAAAGTGGCCTACTATCACCCATGAACTTCTTGATCGTCGTCAAATGGACTGAATTGGACTGCATCATGCAACAAACTGTAAGGAGCGAGAACAACAGCATAGGCTGTTTCACCAATGAAAACAACCTAGAACATTTCGATTTCGATCATCATCATCATTTATGTCTAATGCCTTGTGTCACGCAAACTCAAAGATGTACAGGAGAAAACCAACTAGTTGGTAGAAGATGCAGAGCAGTGAAGATGCGACTTGCTTCAGATGAACGTAGAGAATAAGACGGAGGTGGTGAAGATACTCAAGCAACAACAACGAAAACAAGCACCATGAATAGAAGAAATCTAGAGCAAATTATCTCTCTCACCTACCCTACACACCACACCTATGTAGCATCATTTGAACTACAGGTGGCGGAACAGGCAGAGATGAGGAGGTGATAGTCAGGATCATAAAGACAACAAGACACGCCTTCGTTCATTGATGTGAGGAGATCAGTGTGGAGATGGAGGTGTACTGCATTGCAATGCACTGCATTGCACTACACTTCACTACACTACATTACACCACACTATACTACACCACACCACACTGAGCATAAAGCGTGAACAAGATCCAGATTTTCAACACTGATTCAGTCAAGTGAGTCAGTGCTTCCTTGTGATGGTTGAGAGACTTGGCACCCTATGGAAAGTATTTCAAACAAACTACACATATTGATCAACATCTGTCTTCCACGCTTACTCGATACTGTATATGGATATCAGATGGTGAGAAAGAATAAGTGCTGAGGAAGTGTGGTGTAGGAGCGAACCGACGAACGAGGAACGTATTACCGAACGAATGTGTAGTGGAATGAAGTGTAGATGGATTGTATTGGACATGGACTGTGTAGACCTTTTGAGGAGATCATGTGTTAGGTTGGGCGGTTGATCGGAAGCGAAATGGGAAACGCTGAGTTTGGTGTATGCGGCGAGGGTGACATGTAGGAAATGAAAGGTTGTTGGCAGTTGTAGGGTTAGGTTAAGAATACTGGAGGGAAGATTGTGAAACGGTAAGGCGCTACTGAAGCCCAATGATCCACTAGGAACCCAAAGGACAAATAATAATAACGAAAGTAGTATGTTCAACTTTGGACGCATCAAACTACTCCCTGGAGGTCATCTAGCTGACTTAT